GGGCCAGTCAGAATCCCCAGCACCAGAAGATCTCTGGTGTCAGTGTATAAACAATTGGTCTTACAATTTCTAGGCAGGGGAGGTAGTTGATCAATAAGGGTGGCTCTGGGTAAAATGTATGAAAAGATGTTTACAAATTGTCAGGTCTGTGTTCCTGAGACTATGGGGCTTCTCCACTGCTGAGCATTGAACAATAGCTGGCTGCTGACAGCAGACCTCATTAGTTTGATGCTCATATCACCAAGCTCCCATCCCTGTGACTGTTACAGTGGGGGATGCTGGCACATCCATCTGTTGCTAGCAAATATGTGCTATAGATCAGCCTCATATGACACACAGGACCTCAATAATTAATGATAATTAGCACTTTACAGACAGGAACTAATTAGATAATGAATCTCCCTCCAAGCCCTCTTAGGTTAGTAAATGCCATTATCTTTGTATTTTGAAAATGTTCAAAGTGGGGAGCTTAGAGTGTTAGCTAGTCCTTTATTCCCCTGTGGGTTTTCTGGAAAATGTTTGTCTATTTAACTAAAGGATCTTGCCTTTTTAATAACAATAAATTAAATGTGTTATACCCTTTGCAGCTGCAAAGAATTTTCCTATTCATTACCTCATTTGATCCACCCAACTACCTGGTAAGGGAGGCAGAGGAGACATGATCATTTGCCCCACTTCATAGGCATGGAAACTGAGGCCCAGAAAGTGTGAGGGAGTAACTCAAGGTCATAGGAATTTATAGTATTTGAACCCAGAATAGTGGTGGGGGGGAGGGAGGGAGGGAGAGAGAGAGAGAGATAGACAGACAGACAGACACAGAGACAGAGAGAGACAGACAGAGACAGAGATAGACAAAGAGAGACAGAGACAGAGAGGCAGACAGACAGACACACACACACACACACACACACACACACACACACACACACACAGAGCGAGTGAGCTTTGGAATTGGGACAACCTAGGTTCAAGTTCCATCTCTGAAATATACTAGTTGTGTGACCTCAGGCAAATCACTTAACCTTTTTATGTTCTAGGCCAGAGGTGTCAAAAGTGTAGGCCTATAATTTGAAATGTGTATTCAGTCATGTTCTGACTCTTCATGAAGCCATTTGGGGCTTTTCTTGGCAAAGATACCAGAGTGGTTTGCCATTTCCTTCTCCAGCTCATTTTATAGATGAGGAAACTGAGGTTAACAGGATTAAGTGTCTGAGGCCAGATTTGAACTCAGGAAGATGAGCCTTCCTGACTCTGGGCTTGGCACTCTATCTGCTGTGTCACCTAGCTGCCCTAAGTGAGAATATTGAACAAAATGAATAAAAATATAATAGAACATAGATAAAGTTAATACCTAGTTTTCTAAGTCAATGAAGGGATCCTTATGCATGGTTTAGTGGCCCTTATTTCTTTTCTTTTTGTTCCTTCCTTCTTCCTTCCTTCCTTCTTCCTTCTCTCCTGCATTTCTTTTGTTTTTTGTTTGTTTGTTTGTTTTGTTTGTTTTTTGGTTTTTTTGGCAGTTGGGGTTAAGTTACTTGCCCAGAACCACAGAGCTCAGAAGTGTCTGAGGCCAGATATAAACTCAGGTCTTCCTGACTCCAGGGCCAGTGCTCTATCTACTGCACTAGCTCATTGTCCCAGAAATATTCCTTTGTTCAGTCATTTCAGATTCTTTGTGATCACATTTGTTTGTTTGTTTGTTTTGGCAAAGATACTGGAGTTGGGTTTCCATTTCCTTCTCCAGCTCATTTTGCAAATGAGGAAAATGAGGCAGAGTTAAGTGGCTTGCCCAGGGTCACACAGCTAATAAGTGTCTGAGGCCAGATTTGAACTACAAAGATGAATCCTCCTGACTCCAGACCTGGTGCTCTATCCACGGTGCCACCTAGCTGCCTTCCCATTTCTATTTGAGGTTGAGAACACTGCTCTAATCTACTTTCTAAGACTCTAAGTTGTAGAGAAGGTGCTGATCTTCACTAACAGAATGAGCTCCTTCCTCTGGGAGCTCCCTCTACAAATCAAATCACATGTCCAATCCCTATCCTATATGTAACAGAACCTACGGGGTCCAGTTTAGCTTTTCAGTTATGAATCTGATTTCCCTTCTCATCATTAAGATACATCTCTCATGACTCTCTGTCTTGCATTGGATTGATTTGGCCTCATATAATTCTGATGATAAGATCACAGAACCCATGGATCTCAAGGCACTCTGGCTCCAATTACAAAATCAATATGATTGTGCATTCCATGTTGGGAGGCAGCTGCCTGGTCATCTCTGAAAGGTTTATCTGCAAACCCCTCCCCAGACAGTTTTGGAGGCTTTATTTGGCAAATTAAATGAGAGTGCATTCACCAACAGATGCTCCAGAGCCATTTGCATGTTAACATCCAGCTGAAGTCAGTGGGAATTTATGTGTGCAAGGATTACATGGCTGGGCAGAGAGTAAGGAAAACAGCAGTCGATTTGCTCCTTCCTGGTATTGGCTTCCTCTAAAGGCCATGGTCCTCGCCATCACCCTGAGGGTTCTGAATTCTGCCTGCCATATTCATGAATTTTTTCATAAAGGATGAGATAAAAGAGATCACATTGTCCAGACCCTGTGGAAGGGTCACTCATATAAGAAATGATTATTCTGTAGTCCCAGGCAATTTATGACTCAACTTTTCAAGGTCAGAATTGTCTCAATTTCAGGCTGCATTTCTTCATAAAGCTGAATAAAATACCTGAAAAGGACTCAACTTAGTTGAGCACGGGATAGTTTTGTAATGATTTACTTATACAGGACCACAGGACTATAGTATGCTGGCAGGGACCTTAGAAATCATGGAATCCAACACTTTCTTTACAGATAAGTTAATTAGCACACATAGAAATGAAGTGAATTGCCCATGGTCACACAGCTAAGTATCTGATGAAGCATTTTAATTCAGGTCTTTCTGAATCCAAGGCTACTTCTCTATGTATTATGCCACCTAGGTATCCTCCATTTTTATTGCTCGCCAGGGTTTATGAAATACTTTTCTGCCAATATCCTTGGGAGAAAGGTAATAAAAATTTTATCATACTGATTTTATAGATGAGAAAATTGTGGCTTAAAGACAGATGTAAGGTGACTTGCTCATCATCTCATAATTATTAAGTGTTTACAGAGCCGGGGTTTGAACCTATGTCAGGCTTCTTTTCATACTCCAAAAAGCCTCTCTTTGGGATATTACTCTGCCTTGATTACTATAGATAAGGCAGAGATATATCTGATCCTGTCTAGATAAAGATTATGGTAATCTCCTTGAGAATTCAAGTATTTCCCTTTGATTACTATGAAGCCCACAGTCTAGAAAAACATATTCCAGGTGAGGTTCTAGAGACATGACTTATGCTGTTCAAAGGGGAGAGATTTATCTGCCTATGAGAAGTCCAGATGGAATACCTCTACTGATGAAATAGAGGAACCCTGAAATACTGAGTATTATTATGATAGACACATGAGAAATGACATAAATACCATCATCAAAGATATATATGACCAGAAAAGGTAAGCAGAACATATCATGAGGAGGGAGGGGTGATAGATGGACAGCCCACAAAATACGAAAAGAATCAGAGGAGACCCTCCTTTTCATTGAAGTACTCCTTTGTGGGAGATTTATGGAAAGACAAAGGAAAGAAATGCACAGATACTTACGGAAACCTTGGGATTTAGAGTGGGTAGAGCTATATATGTGTATATATATATGTATATGTATAGGTGTGTATTTTATGTATATGTATGTATGTGTGTGTGTGTGTGTATATATATATATATGTATGTATGTATGTATGTATGTACATAATTTTGTTCCATCCCACTCATGGGGTTTACACTGAGGCCTAGAGTAAGGGAGTGGCTTGCCCCATGAACACAGAAAGCAGTAGAGCCTACACTCAAACTCAGGTCTGTCAGACTTCAGACTCTCTGCTCTTTCTGCTGATGGCTTGTGCCAATGGTGGTAATAACCATATTGACAAGGACATAGATTCAATAAAATAGTGATCTATTATTGTTGTTATTATATTAAGGTAGAGGGTAGGATCGTAGGGTTTAGAAAAGAGGTTGGAGGAATTAGAAACAAATTGGGGGCAGAGTAGGTTGATTCAAAGGAAGAGTAAACAAGGCAAGTGGGGGAGGGAGGAGGATAGTAGACCTTGGGCAGGTTATAGGTAAATTTACATCAGGAATTTTCAAGTTCTTTGAAGCCTCCTATCTCTGACCCTGACTAGCTGGAGAATGTTTACAGGACGGTGACTAGGATGCCAGCAGTATTAGAGGTCACACAAGATGGAACTTCTGATGGAATTAAGAATGTTTAACCTGGGGGGCAGCTAGGTGGCACAGTGGATAGAGTACTGGCCCTGAAGTCAGGAGGACCTGAGTTCAAATCCAGCCTCAGACCAAACACTTGCCACTTACTAGCTGTGTGACCCTGGGCAAGTCACTTAACCCCAATTGCCTAAAAACTAAAAACAAAAAACAAAAACAAAAAAAGAATGTTTAACCTGCAGAAGACAAAACTAGGGAATGTGCAATTGATGCTTTTAAGTATTTGAAGGCAGAAGAAGGATTATATTTGTCCTGCTTCATCACAGAGAACAACTAGAAGTGAATGGAAGGTTTTGGGTTTGAGAGAAAAAAAAAAAAGGCTTCCTGACAATTAGAGATGTCCCTGAAGTAGAATGAGTTGCATCTGGAGGTAGTGACCTACCTCTCAGGTGGATGTTAGATGACTGCTTACTGAGGCTATTGCAAAGGAATGCCTGTTGATGTATAAAGTAGACTAGATAAATGCTTCTGAAGTCCCCAACAAATCTGAGATACCATGATTCTAAGAGAGAATGAAGAATCACCCTTGTTCTCAGGTGCTGGCAATATTAACCACAGCTCATTACATGTACAAGTAATTACATTACATGTACAAGCCCTGAACCAGATGACTAGCACCTAGGAAAGAGGGTGGTCACTTACGTCATCACCAGAGTCTCATCCCCTGGCTCACTTAGCAGTCCATCCACGAAGACCGAAGTGCTGGTGAAATTGTGTGTGCTCCACGTATGACCTTCATCAATGCTGAACCTGAAGAAGGAGAGAGAGAGACAAAGAGATAAGAGACAGAAAGAGAGTCAGAGTCAGAAAAGAGGTGAGAGATACACACACAGAGACAGAGAGAGACAGAGACAGCAAGATAGAGACAGAGAGTGACAGAGAGATAGAGACAGAGAGAAAGAGGAGAAAGAAAAAGAGAGAGAAAGAGGGAGAGAGTAAGAGAAGGGGATAGAGAGAAAGGACAGAGAGGTAATCCGTACAGAGAGGAAAAGAGAAAGAGATTAGGAAAAAAAGAGATTAGGAAAAAAGGAGAGGGAGAGGGAGAGAGAAGGAGGGAAGGAGAGACAGAAAGAGACAGAGAGAGAAACAGAGAGAGACAGACAGAGAGAGAGAGAGAGGTCACATTTCACTTGTCGCATCTGATCTCACCATCTAGGGGCATTCCTTAAACAAATAGCACAAGAGGGTTTGCGTGTATGTTTCCTTTTTCCATTTGTTGAGTAAAATGTCAGCCTGACAACAGAGGACTCCAGGTACCTACAGATCTAGTCACATTTCCTAAAAGTCAGCTGGGTTTGTCTAGTCGTAAGTATTTTAATTAACTAAATGTCATCCCAGCGCTCCCACCCACCAGCTCCGCTCAGATGCCTGTGGGGAAAACCAGGTGGAAAATGTACCACTGACAACTGGCAGAACTCCTAACAGTCTCTGGATCTTGTCAGATGATAATTACAATAATAATAACTCACTATAATATAACATAATAGATGTGGTGTAGTGAGAAACACACACACACACACATCCCCCTAAGAGTCAGAGAACTTTTCCTGTCCTGGCTCTGGCACTTTCTAGCTGTGTGCCTTTAGACAAGTGATATCTATCCTTTGAGCCTTGTTTTCCTTAACTATAAAAGGAAGGGAGTAGGATGGCATGATGTCTAAGATCCCTTCCATATTTTAAGTTCTATGTTTCTATAACACACATGCCTTCAGACTGCAGCTGTAGATTTAAAAGAACTATTGTTTGGGATAAGGACTTATTTTTTCTTTTTTTTAATTAATTTATTTTAATTTATCAGGACTTATTTTTTTCTTATGGGTCTTGAGTGCTTTCCCTCCTCACTGTGTATTCTTATCAGCTTTTAAAGCTACTGCCCAAACCATTTGATTCTCTTCCCAAGGGCTGATGGACACTTCAGGTCTTTTCTTTCCTCCCCATAAAGAAACATATCTTAGCCATAAAAGAATGTTAGAATGTAGAGTTGGAAAGACTTTAGAATACAGACCGATAACATTATTAGAGCTGGAAGAGGCCTTAGAACACAGAACTAAGAGGGGAACATAAAACACAGACTACAGAATGTCAAAGCTAGAAGAGAACTTGGAACATAGAACATAAAACGTCAGAACTGGACGAGACCTCAGAACACCGAATATAATAATTTTATAGCTGGAAGACACCTTATAAAACAGATGCTAGCTGGTCAGAGCTGGGAAATTAGAACATAAAACATATGGTGTTAGAGCTGGAAGTGAATTCAGAGTACAAGATAATGTTGAAGCCAGAAGTCATCTTAGAACACAGACCATAGACTGTCAAGGCTGAAAGGGACCTTAGAACAGAAGGCTAGAACTGGAAGTGGCCTTAAAGATCATTTTGCCCAACCCTGTAATTTCACAGGTAAGAAAACTGAAAGCCCAGAGATGTTAGATCACTTGCCCAAGTTTAGTTACATAGCTAGTTAGAGGGACTGATAGACCAACCAGTCATTTGGTTGCTCTTAATGGCCACCTACAACCTAGGATCAAAAGTCACTGGGAAGAAATAAATAAACAAACAGGTAACCCCTTCCCTCTGCCCTTCCCCCAATCACCACAATCCATGTTAAATGCACTGGCTCTGCTGTAAAGGAGAAAAGCCTTACTTGAGTATTTTCAAGGGGATGGATGTATCTTTGATAGCCACAATCACTCCACCATGATCCAGGTATAGAATGTGGTGTTCCTCTTCGAAGACCTAGAAACCAGGCCAAAGATAATCACTGAATAGCTGAATGGTACATCTTCAAAGGCATCAGTAAAATAAATTACAATTAGAAGCCCATAAAAATGTCTTAACCATTTATTTTTCAAAGTATACTTAACAACAGCAACAACAAAAATTTTATATGCCTTTAAAAAAATCTTTAAAAAGTAGTCCAAAAACAATAGCCTTTTGGAATTGAAAGGATCCTCTTATCTATGATTGCTTTGAAGTCAGGGCATTTTTAGGGAATAGTCAGACTTTCACAATTGATATTCTACAGCAAACCACACCTTCACTATTTCATGATTGAAAGATATGAGAAGAGAAGATCCTATTCTATTTCTTGCTCGTTGATTTTTTTTAAAAAAGCATTTCCTTCAACAGCACCAAATTCTGCCCTACTGTGCCATCATCGAAGGTTTAAGCAGGGGCTGGAGGACTCCTTCTCTGTAGGTTTGATAACTACCCATAATGCTTCGCAGGGGATTTCTGCTTCAGGTAGTGGTTGAACATGATACCCCAAAGATTCTACTTTATGATGATTTCAGTTAAATCCCAACTTTGTGAGGTGTCTCAAGACCAACACTACCATTCTAGAATTGGGATTTATCTCTTCTTCAAGGTGTAAACTCCAGAGTCAGCATGACATAGTAGAATAATAATTGGTCTTGGGTTAAGCTCTGACTCACCATCAATCTGTGGCCACTTCTCCTCTTGGACTTAAGTTTTGTCAACTGAAAAAGGAGTGGGGTTGGGCAGATGATTGTTAAGTTCCATCTTGTTCTAACATTCTGGTTTATGTTTAAAGTTCCCTTCTGGTTTCAACATTCTATCCCAGCCCTGATATTCAGCAGTCTATGTTTAAATGGCCATTACAGCTCTAACCTTTTACCTTTTAACATTCTTTTTTGTAACCTGTTGTGATTCTAAGGGGAAGTGTGGAAAAAGGAGATTCTGGATGGAGTTCAACTCTTGTCTCAAAGATCTAAATGACAGTTTCAATACTTAACAAAGAAGCCTTTAATCTTCTGAGAGCACTGGTCCCAGTCATCACAGTAGGCAACCACCTGCATCTCAGTTTTCTGTTTTCCTTCTGTGGAAGGCCCAATGAGACATGAACTTCAGCGAAAGAGATGATGTATGCACAAGTACACTTCAGGTTATAAAATGCCCCATAAATACAATGTGCTGTGGTTTTTATGATTAACATCTCCTATCAGTTGATAATATGACATGTTTCTCCAATGGGTTTCCTAGTAAGAGCTACAAATGGAAGATTTTCAGTCTACCGATTTTTTTTTTCCACCAGCTGTTCAGTCTTTACTGTAGAATGAAAATCTTTGAAAGAACTTCCATTTCAATTCTCTTTCTTAGACTTTAAAAGAAATATATAACTTTTATCACTGATCTCAAATGGAAAATAGCCCCAATGTTTACATATCTTATGATGACATCTAGTATTATTGAACTTTGAGAAGGATTAAGTTAGTCAATCAACATGCATTTATTATGCTCTTTGTGTGAATCAATAGGCATTTGTTAAGCACTATGTGTGGTACTAGCAATGTCACAACTGAAAAGAGATTTCAGAAGTCATCCAGCCCAACCTATAACTAAGCAGGAAGTCTAATTCAAAGCTGGGCATTTAATGGACATTCCAATTCTGATTGAAAACCAGCAATTGTCAGGAATCATTGTGGTAGTCCACTCCCTTTTTGAACAGCTCTGTTTAGAAGTTTCTTGTTGCATTGAGATGAAATTTTTCTAACTTCACAGACTATGAATATGGGGCAAAGCTGTAGGTGTGCACTGACAATAATACCCTCATTTGTATTAGGAAAAGTGCCAACTTAGATGCTGATGACCAAACAGATATGGTAATGGAACTAAACAACTCCAAATTAAGCATGTATTACTTGCTAGGAAAGATGTTTGCATGTGTAGATGCCCCATTCTCAAGGACACATGAAACCTAAGCTGTGATGCCAACTACTGAAGGAACAAAAACTATCTGTAACCCCCAAATTCTGCTGCAATCTTGGGACTAACAAAGACAACATGTCAGCAGCATATTCATTGACCTCATCGTCTTTGACTGAGTTGTCCCATGACTGGTAAAGAGAGCAGAAGGATGGTGAAGGATTGTGAGAAGTGACAAGAGCCAAGACACAAAGTGGCAATGCCAAAGAACTAAAGTATTTGTCTCTTTTGAGACAATGGCAGAAGTAGGAGCTACACAGGAAGATGATATACTGGACTGTCATTGATCCCATTTGTGGTACTAGAATAGTATTTCCCCACACATATTACTCTATGGTCATGAAATCTTTACATGGTGACTTTAGATGTATGAGTAAAGAAGATACCTTAAAGATAGTGAGAAATGGATTTCACTTGCTCTAGATGCCTGCAGATGTCAACAAGGAGTGTCAAATTTGTGCCTGTGGCATACAAAGAAACATACTACCAATATGTGCTTCATATTTGAAGAACATGACCATGAGCAAACCTTTGGAATTTGCTGGCTTCATTTACTATCTCTAGAAGGAGACTGTAAGAATGTAACCCATATATGGTGACAACAAGCCATTTCAAAAGGAATTTAGAAGCAACATCCAACCAGAAATTAGATTGGATCCACAGCTAAAGTACTGTAGGAGATTTTTCTCAGTGTAGGAACATCTTGCTAGATCTAGGCAGAGACTGATGAAAGGGATATTGACTTTAATTGGCATTAAGAAGGTGAGAACAATCCCTTACCATCTTTGAGGGGATCCACATCATGCATGGTTCAATAACTCATTGATGAGTATGTTGGAGGCACTGAGATCAGAACAAAAAAATCTCAGTGGTGTCACCATTTGGCTATCCTAACACATGTATACAACTCCCCTAGGAATCATAGCCCTGATTTTATGTCCAACCTACCTACTGATATTTATGTGTGAGCCATTCCTGTCAACTGACTTGCATTTGGAGGCCATGAGTATGGCAGGGTAGGGGGTGGGAGCTGTAGGCATTCATAATTGGGACATTTCTTATCTTAGAGGGAAGCTAAAGTACCACGTAGCTACCACTTCAGCCCAGAAGAATGCTAACAGAAATAAATTAAATTATGATGCCTATATTCACTGTCAAGACCTTCCATAAATTGACATGGTTTTGTTGAGAAATCTTGATGTTTATGGAACACACAAATTAGTAAATCAATGGAAAGCTACTTCATACCTACTTGTGGAAAGAATGGGAACTTGCCTGTTTACCAAAATTCTGGAAGCTTCTGGAGGTTTACAAAAGGCCACTGGACTTGGGGGCCGCAAGAAGAGTTCACCCATAAATATAGACTGAAGACTAGATAGAGACTGATGAGTACTTGTGAATGAATGAATGAAAAAGCATTTTTAAGTGCTTGTTGTTGTGAATAAAGTGCTTATTTTGTGCCAAACACTGTGCCAAGTACTGGGGAAACAAAGAGAAAAGCAAAGTAATCCTTGTTTGCAAGGAGCTCACATTGCAATGGGGGAAACAATACAAAGGTTTCAGCTGCAAATCAAATGGAAAAGCCCCATAGATTTAGTGTATAGAAGCCAGGCAGACAGTAATACATTTCTTTAATTTCATTTCTACTGATATAAGCATATCTATGTCTGATGTTCAACCATTTCACAGTGCCAAGGACTTTGGAGATATGGAGATTCTTTTCTAGATCTTTAGCAGCTTTGGTTGTAGCTCCTCTAGCACAAGTTGTCAGATTGTATCTTGACAGAGATACAGGGAGTCACTATCTGGGATGATAACTTTGAGGGCTGAATCGGAAGCAGGATTAATGATCTGGATGGTGCTGTCATTCTGAGAGCTCTTGGGTTTACCTACCCATCAGGGTCAATCAGTTAACAGTTGAGGTTGGTGATAATGGGCACATTTAGCCCCTTTTCACAGTAATTTCTCCTCTCAATACTGATTCAAGGCTGGAAGCAGGACGTGTAGCTTGGTAAGTCACTGCTCTGTCTAAGGCAGTCAGGGTTAGGGTATCGAACTATCTTCATCAGAGTTGGATAGAAGTAGGGAAGTGGTTGTTGAGGTGATGGTAGTGGTTTGACTTGAGAAGCAGATACTACCTCAAGTCTCTTTGGGAGTACCTTGCTGCTTTAACTAGGCTGGCTTGTCTGCCCTCTAAGCAAAAAAGACTACCTGCCCATACAGCAAAGACTATCTGAACCAGGCAGTGGCTTAGAAACAGACATCTCAAGTGAAGAATCTTCAGTGAACTGTATCCCAATGACCAATTAAAGTGACTGGAGAGAGCTGAATCCAGAGAAAGCACCTTTTCTGCCTAGAACTTTAATTATGCAGCCTCCTAGTTCGGCTGGATAACAGGGTATAGAAGGGGGAATGATATCCAATAAGACTGGAAAGGTAGATGGGGACCAGGTTGGATAGGACATTAACGATCAAACATAAGAGCTTATATTTTATTCTAGAAGCAATAGGGAACCACGGGAGTCAAATAAGAACGTCACAGGGTTAGACCTGCTAATCTTTATTTATGTATGTTACCTTGTGTGTCGTTGCATAGGTTCATTGATGCACACGTTAATTATGACATTTTAATAAGTTTTTATTTTTTCATGACCAAGTTATTTTGCTTTTGTATTAGTATCATGCATGTATTGCTTGCTAGTAGGAATCACTCATAATTTTTACTGTGCATATGTTGCTATTTCTTAATTTTAAAAATTATTTTATAGGCCTACTGATATCATTGCTTTATTTAGCTGGCTGGTATGCATATTTGCTTTGGTTCTATAAATATGAGTGTATTGCTGACATGTACATACATTATATACTACAAAGTAATAAGACTTGTAGTAACTTTAGCCTCATGTTGAGTAATGCTTTAGATTTTGCTATGTCTATTGCATGTACTGTCGATATACCCATGCTGTGAAAGGTATTCTAAAATGAACTGGGATAATCCTTGTTATATAAAG